CGTGGTTAATTATCTTTGAGGTACCTCTCAGGACTCTGGTAGGACCACCAGGTCTCTGGACTCCGCCCCCCCTGGTGTTTCCTCCCCTGTGATGATGGAATATTCCTCCATGCTGGGCTGTGGTTGGCCAGAAATGTCCGATTCTCTGGTCAGGGGTGAATGTTTCTGTGTCGGGATCCCTCCTTAGGGCAGATCTCCGTCTGATCATTCCTCTGTAGGGAGCAGGGGGTGGGACTCGCGGGGGGGCGGGGGCAGATCTCCCAGTTGAATGACACGATAGCAGGGCGGAGGAACCGATCAGACCGGACTGGGTGGAGGATGACGACGTCTGGAAGGTTCTGGAATATAGAGCGGGGACACACTGGGGGAGGGGTTTCCTGTCCTCGGTCACCCCTATAGGTGGATAGCATTGAACTGCCGCCCGATGAGGGGAGTGGCCACAGATGGGGCGGAGTCTGTCATTCTGATAATGAACGTTTGGCGGGACGAGGACAACGCCCACTGTGTGAGTTGTGTGATGTCATCACTCTGCTCCGGTGCCAAGGCAGAATTATGTACTGGGGGAGGATTAGCGCCCCACTACTTTATATGACGCACCCCAGAACGCCGCGTCGCGCACTCGCCTCCTTTACTGTCACCTATGGCAGCCAGTCAGCTTCCGGCGTTGCTGGTTCCCGGAGGTTGTGGTCGTCTGGTGGCTCTCATGGTCCTTGTACTGATCGTCTCTCTCTCTCTCAGGTATCTGGTGGACAGCCGATGGTTCAAGCAATGGAAGAAGTATGTCGGCTTCGACTCGTGGGACATGTACAACGTGGGGGAGACCAATCAGTTCCCGGGCCCCGTGGATAATTCCGGACTGTTGGCAGGTAATGTGCGCGCAGAATGACAGACACGGATCTGCCTCGTACACACAGCGTCGGGGAACAGCCGAATATAAAGATGAGATCCAAATATGAGGAGCGACTCCCTGCCAAAGGATTTGTATTTCTGTTCATCCAGGCCTGAGATTCACACAGCTCTGCCATATAGTGCAGCCAGGCAGATGATACCACTTCCTCTGTTCCCCCCCGGACTGCTGACTGGACCCGGGTTACCCCGGGGAGTTCCTGACCTGAAACTGCATGCTATCAGGGTGACGGCTCTGGAGTCTGGAACATGTAAAAGGCGACGGGACCCGAATTTATATTGTGTCATAGACGTTTGAGGAGCCCCCCTCAGTATTGCCCCGGTGTACCTACCCCTGTCTGAGAACCATAGATGTGCGGGACCCCCATCCCATGCTAGGCCTCAGCAGTGGTCTCTCTATGAAATCTTTGTACCTCTACCCCCCAGTATTGCCCCGGTGTACCCCTGTGTGATGTGCAGGCCCCCCGTCCTCTGTCCTACCCCAGCAGCGGTCTCTCTCTTTGCCCGGGGCCCCTGTGTGATGTGCAGGCCCCCCGTCCCGTGTCATACCCCAGCAGCGGTCTCTCTCTTTGCCCCAGGGCCCCTGTGTGATGTGCAGGCCCCCCGTCCTCTGTCCTACCCCAGCAGCGGTCTCTATCTTTGCCCGGGGCCCCTGTGTGATGTGCAGGCCCCCCGTCCCGTGTCATACCCCAGCAGCGGTCTCTCTCTTTGCCCCCGGGCCCCTGTGCGCTGTTCACGCTCCC